ATTTTAATAAGTTTGTTAATGGATTTAACAAGTAGTTTGGAAGCAGCTTGGGGCTGAATTTTGATAGAGTGAAAGAACCTTTCATGCACTTCCCCAATTTTTCAAACAGGATGACAGTTCTGTAATTTCTAACTGTGATCATGAGGTCTCGTAGACCCTGAGAAAGCGTGAACATGAAAAGCGTGAATCGGTAGGGAACAATCTTTCTAAGTCACAGGACAATGGATCATAAGTTATGACCTGGAAAAGTACCAGGCCCTAGTAGTCAAGAAGCCATTTAGGAGCCTTGACTGTTCACCCAAATAAGGAGAGTTGAGATTGTTTTGGTGGAGTCATGACCTCCTATTATTCCCCTAATATTGCTTGCTTGGGAAAAAATCGTGGACTCGTGAACGTGACTAAGAACCAGTACCCTAGGAAGGAGGGCCCTATGAGTGGACCAAAAGTCAGACTGACCTCACTTGATCAGGATTGGATGATTCAGTTGGGGTGCAGAACCTGTAATCTCCTGATTCGGTGAGAAGATCACCAGGGAGGTCTTGTGGAATGATACCAGCCTGAGTTTCATCCATAAAAGACCAGGTAAACGAGGAAGAAAGTGTGCTCCTCCCGAGGTCGCCCGGATGACAGCCAGATGGCTGATACTCCTACTTTCCATCCCACAGAAAGTAGAGACAAAGACATTGTAGACTGGCCAGTTGACTGGAGGATGATGCCCTCTAGTGTGATGGTACCTCATCCAGAAGACATCGCCTGATTCCCGAGAATGCAGTTCCTGACCAACTCTGAGGTTCCAAAGGCCAAGCAAGCTGAAGAGCAGAACCTTTTTCTCTTTCTAATTAACTTATTTTTGTTTCCTTGACGGGATATTTGCATAGCCGTGTAGGGATGCTAATCAGGAAAGACTTGTCCTAGCCTTTTGTGGGGAGGGAATGCACATGTGTTTGTGTGTAGTACCAATAATAGCATCTGCACATAAGCCCATATATAGGTTGCCAGTTGGCATTAACCTAGGTTCTGTGACAGACCCAGACCAGTGGGGTACAGGAGTCTGGTAGAGGGCAAATATACTGGTCACTGGATGAGTAGCTTTCTGTTCCCTGAGTGACCAGAGCAGGGGCTGCACTAGAGTAATCAGGAACCTGCTAGAACCAGTTAAGGCAGGCAGGCTAATTAGGACACCTGGAGCCAATTAAGAAGAAGCTGCTAGAATCAAGTAAGGCAGGCTAATCAGGGCACTGGGTTTTAAAAGGAGCTCACTTCAGTTTGTGGTGGGAGTGTGAGGAGCTGGGAGCAAGAGGTGCAAGGAGCTGAGAGTGAGAGGGTGTGCTGCTGGAGGACTGAGGAGCACAAGCGTCATCAGACACCAGGAGGATGGTCCGGTGGTGAGAATAAGGAAGATGTTTGGAGGAGGCCATGGGGAAGTAGCCCAGGGAGTTGTAGCTGTCATGCAGCTGTTACAGGAGGCACTATAGACAGCTGCAGTCCACAGGGCCCTGGGCTGGAACCCGGAGTAGAGGGCGGGCCCGGGTTTCCCCCAAACCTCCCAATTGACCTGGACTGTGGGTTGTTCCAGAGGGGAAGGTCTCTGGGCTGTTCTCCAACCCTCATGGTGAATCTCTGAGGCAAGAAAATCCACCAATAAGTGCAGGATCCACCAAGATAGAGGAGGAACTTTGTCACAGTTCTAAGCAAACCTTGCCACAGCTCACTAAAGGTCCAATTCTTAACCCCTTGTTTCCACAAGGGAAGGTATAAGCTGCTAAGTAAGATGCATAGAGATAGAAAGACTAAGTAAGCCATTCAATCATTTGTGATTTGATTACTGATACTGCTCATACAATGGTTTGACAAATTGTTGGTCTCAAATGGTTCTCTTTGTAGCTGACCAATTCTAATTTGTATTATTGTTAACTCCTTGAATTGAGAAGCTTGATTTACATTGTAATTTCAATCGAATTTTCATCTTGTTTAGCACTTCAGGGAAATGTAAGAAATTAGTTAACCTTCTAGTTGTTTATGCTCTTGAATAAAAGTTATAAAAATAATCCAAATTGGTTTTCTCTGCTCAAATGACAACAAGGTAAAAACAACCTTAATTAAAGGGACTTTTTAATTAAATAATAATAAAATATTTGACTCAAGTCCTGAAACCCTTATTACTATTACAGACCCTTGTTGGCAATCTTGCGTAAGGCGGTATGAAGGATGGGCACGGATGATGATTGCAGAGGATGAACTACAGGAAATAAAATCCCCAACAACTTTAAAAGTGCTGAGAAGTTCTCTGGGAGTCTCTTAGTGAGTTCTCAGAAATTGTTCAGCTACATCCTAGCCCGTTGCAGAAAAATACACTGTGGAGTTGGGGGCAAGAACAGGAAGAAGCAGTGAAGGAGTTTAAAAGAAAAGCATATCCCAGGTTTGCTTGACATGTCCCAAGAGAGGAAAACCCTTTCCTACTGAAGTGGATCACACCAACTGCTGTGTCAGTGCTATACTGTACTTAAAGCATGAAACTGAAGAGAAAGTGATTGCTTATGCCAGCAAGAACATCCGTGTAGTCAAGAGGAAGTATCTGGATTATGAGATGTTTGCTGCTGCCTGGCTGTCCAACTTTTTCAGGGATATTTTCAAGGGCATCATTTCAGAAAAATTCAGGGGAGAGGGGGCAAAGATGCATTGGCATCTCCACTTCTTTCTCTCCAGTGAGGCTGTAGCTGCTCGTGGCAGGATAGCAGGCCAGGCCAAACCCAGAGGAGAGCTGGGGAAGTGGCAGGTCAGTCCTTTTCAGGGAGGTGGAGATGGAGGGCCACGGATGTGCGTCTCTCATTGATGGCTGGTTGAGGACAGAGATTGGGGCCTGGCTTACTCCACACTCAGCTCTGGCCCAGGCTGCCACCACTGATCCCTGTCTGGGTGGCAGGGATATGGGCACAGCACTGACAATGCAACAATTAGGAGCCCTGGCTTCGCAGCCCTGGGGAGACCCTTCAGAACCAGCTGGCAAGGAGCTATGAAAGTCTGGGGGAGGCAAATCAAGATCTGTGGGGAGGGCAACTAACCTCCCCCCCACATCCAATAGCAAATGATGCCTCTGGGTATGATGGAGGAGAAAGAGTTGTAGTAGAAACCTGCCACTAGCCTACTACTATTCTGGTTAGTGATGAAATAGAGTTGAAAGGTTTCCAGAAGTTGTATTGGAACCTGGATGTTAGCCCTTAGAGATCCACTTCACCAGAAGCAAGAAACTGCAAGTGGCATAGGGTGAGCTGAAGTTTGATTGTTGACGGCACAGGGGTTAACTGAAGTTCATGGCTGCAGAGCAGACCCTCAGAGGAGAGGAAGTAGCCCTCATGTCTGAACTGCCTGCAACGCTGACCAGACACTTCTATTATGATACGGAATCTGTGAGAAATTTTCTATAGCTTATATAGACAGTTGTTAATACCAGCCTGGTGGTAAACCAGTTGCAGGAGTAGGCCTGGTATGGGCGAATCAGGGCACAATCCCTGACTCTCAGTACATGCTGGGTCAGCATGCAGAGATGTCTGGAGTTCTGATTCTATTACAGTTTGTTGCAAGTCACTTCCTTAACAGCCTAGTTGTCTGTTCCAATTCCACCTACATGACACATTTTTAGCATAATTAGCTGAATGGGAAAAGTGTGACGTGAAAAGGGCTCATGGCAAGGAAATTATGCACATTGAGTTAATAGAGATTTAATGCAAGAAGCAAACCTATCAATGACCTGGGAAAGGTCATTCAAAGGAGCAGGATCATGTTGCACTAGGAAATAATCCAGCTGACCAATTGTACAGGCAACTGGCCCTGCAGACTCCAACTGATGCTGCCATCCTGATTCTTTACTGGATGAGCTGGTGTCACTGCAAAGTTGACTACAGGGTGCACAGACCGTGCTTGGTGGCAGCTTGTTGTAAAGTGGGCATCAGAGTTGACCTCCAGGATTCCTTATCTTTCGTACGCAATGTCTTGATGATGTTGCAAAGTCAAACCCATTCAGTCTTTGCTTTTTCTCTTGACAAACCTGTCTTTTTACCATCAGATGAGAGAAAATTAACACCAAATGTCATATAATTACATTGCTGTAGTGTTGTCAGTTGTGTAGTTGTTACTAATAACTTTATAATTAAGTGTTAGACTAACTATTGGTTTAAGAATGAGAAATTAATCATGCAATTTGAAATACTAATGTGTTGTGTTTGAAGTTTATCTTGTGTAAGGATCCTATGATGTAATGAGAAATTCTCAAAGTAGCCTCCTTATTCCATCAGTGAAGACCTATGGTAATACAGACATAAGTATAAATTTTGCCACATTTTAATAAGTTTATGTTAATAGATTTTACAAGTGGTTTTGAAGCAGCTTGGCTTTGAGCTGTGATAGAGTGAAACAACTTTTCATGTAGTTCCCACAGTTTTCCGGACAGGGTGACAGTTCCGTAATTTGTTACTGTGGTTATGAATTCTCATAGGCCTTGAGGAAATGTGAATGTGAGATGTGTGAATGGGTAGGGAACAACCTTTCTAAGTAAAAGAACAATGGGTCATAAGTTTATGACCAGGAAAGGAACAGACCCTAACAGTCAAGAAGCCATGTGGAAGCCTTGAGTGTTCGCCAACATAAGAGGGGGATGAGGTTACTTTGGTGGAGTCATGACCTCCTCTTATTCCCCTAATATTGCTTGCTTGACAAAAACACATGGATTGTGGATGTGACAAAGAACCAGTACACTAGGAAGGAGGGTCCCAAGAGTGGACCAAAAGTCAGACTAAGATCACTTGATCAGGATTGGACGATTCAGTTTGCGTGTGAAACCTGTGAGCCCCTGATTTGATGAGCAGATCACCAGAGGGGTCTCGTGGGATGATACCACCCTGAGTTTCATCAATAAAAGACCAGTCAAATGAGGAAGAAAGTGTGCTTCTCCCAAGGTCACCACGACAACGGCCAGGTGATTGATACACCTACTTCTCTCTCAGGGAAAGTAGAGGCAAAGACATCGCAGACCAGCCGGTTGACCAGAGGACAGCATCCACTTGTGTGACGGTACCTCAGGCAGAAGACATCAGTCAGTTCCTACACTGCAGTTCCTGAACAACTCTGCGGCTCCACAGACCAAGCAAGCTGAAAAGCCGATCTGTTTTCTCTTTCTAAGTAAATTTCTTCTTTTGGTTTCCTTAGCAGGTTATTTGAATTCCTGTGTAGAGATACCTGAGAGGAAAGACTTGTCTGAGCCTTTTTAAGGTGGGTGGGCAGGTGGGCAGAAATCGCACATGCACATAAGCCCATAGTATAAGTTGCCATTGGGAATTAATTAACCTAGGTTCAAAGCAAACCTTGCCACAGATCACTAAAGTTCACTCAGGGATTGTAAAGATCCAAACCTTAACCTATTGTTTCCACAAGGGAAAGTCAAATTAGATAAGTAAATTGCATAGACATAGAAAGACTGAGTGTAGGTCCATACTTACAGTGGCATGTAGAATACAGACACCGCACACCCACCCTCCCTTGCATGGGTATACATAGCAGTGTAGACAATGAGGCACTGCTTTGGTGAGTAGAGTAGAGATATGCCAAAATCCTAAGGTGCCACTCACATCTACATGGCTACATTTAGCAGTGTAGTGTCCTGCTGCCTCCCTGCTGCTGGAGCCTTTCCCCACTGCTGGAGCCTTTCACTGCAGCATGTAGCTGCATGTATCCTACATGCCACTGCAAGTTTGCACAAGGCCTAATTAGCCATTCTATCATTGGTGCATGTTAACTTTGTGATTTAATTGAGTGCGCTCATGGGCTGACTCTAGGGACCCATTATTGGGAGGGCAAGTGGGTATTCTGGGGGCCCTGGATGTCAGCATTTAAAAAATAAACAACCTTCCAGGTGTCCATGAGCTAGTTAGACCCCTGAGAAATCTTGGATTGTAAGAGTTTTTAAAAAGTCAGTATTTTGCTGTGATTTATAATTTCTGACAATAATTTGGGGCCTTATGAGATCGTTTGCGGGGGGCATATTTCCCCTCTTCCACTCCTCAGTGGAACTCCAGGTCTCTACCCATGCAATGATTTGACCAATTGCTGTTGCCAAATTGTTCTCTTTTTAGTTAACCAGTTCTAATTTGTATAATTAATGCCTTGATTGGACTAACTTGATTTATATTGTAACTTCTATCTATGGTCATTTTCATATTGTTTAGTACTTCAGGGAAGTATAAGAAATTAGCTAACCTTCTAGTTGTTTATGTTCTCAAATAAGTTATCAAACCACCCCAAATTGGATTTCTCTGTTCAAATGGTGATGAGGCAAAAACCACTTTAGTTAAAGGAATTTTAATTAAATATTAATAAAACATTTGACTCAAGTTGTGAAAACCCTATTATTACAAATTGGCATTGTTGACAGGATACTGTATCACTTATTAGGAGAGACATCCTTTCAAGGTGCGTAAAGGTGTCTTTGATCAGTGTACCTGTGACCCCTCTCTCTAAGATAAACAGTTTGGTAAAGAGTTAATAAGCTCCAGGCTGAAAGTTGGTCAGTGAGTGAGAAAAGAAGAAGTTGCCTTCTGATCACTGTGTTCCTAAAGCTCACCCTGTGAGGAAGTGAAACTCCCTGGTGAGAGTGCCGAAAGCAGGATGTGGGGTAGGGGCACACACTTCAGTCAAACCAGACACAGAAGTCTGGAATAAAAGATTCCCTAAAAGTTTTGATAAAGGTGTGGAGATGAAAAACTTCCCTTTGTATTTTTTGCATTCACCTGCAGGAAAGCTATTGTTTCAGGCTGCGGAGAAGCTGAACTTTCTCCCTCCTCCCTCCCCCCGAGGAAGACTTGTCGCCTGAAGCCACACTAGAAGAAGGCCTGTGGTCACCACACCTGGAAGAGTGAGTGAAGTTTTTCAGTTGTCCTTCCACCTAGTGTCCTACATTCAGCACCACACTGTGATAAAGTGAATTAATTCCAGTCCCTAAAGGTGAGTCCACCAATTCATATGGAACATGAAGCCAAGGTAACTTCCTACCTTCTAGGCCATCTAGCTAGGGAGATGGTTGGGGAGAGAGGTTGGCAAGTCACAAGGGGAAAGACAAGATTTCAATCAGTTTGCAAGAGACCCTCAGCTGAATCCTGAAAGATGCATTGTCAGGCATTGTATCCTAGGAAGATAGGTCCTAGTATATTGCTTGTGGTTCCACCCTACTGAACAGAGAGTTGGAGAATTTGTCAACGGAAAGAGAGATGCTAAACTCTGAGAAGTAAAAAGCTCGAGGCCTAGCGAAAGATGTAGGCAGCCTATAGGTAGAAATAGATAAAGTGGCCAAGACTCTCAGAGGGACAAATGAATGTTGGATATCAAACTGTGGACTGCAGAAGGGTGGGTGATGAAAATCATGAGTTGTTTTCAGAAAGGATTACTGAGGTGGAAGTTAGGAAGATTCTTGGCATCACCTAGACTCCCCAGTGCCCCAGAGGTTCCTGAGGTAGAGAGAACTCTTCCTGGGGATGGTCCCCCTAGACCTTAAGGTCTGGATAAATAGGAATCAAAGAAGCTAAACAGACTTTGAGAATCTTGCACCCATACGAAGGGAGCTCGACTTCATGAGCATATTACTATAGTTAAAACTTCCTTAGCAAATGTTGAAGGAGTTTCAGAAAATGATACAATGAGGTTTCCAAAGAGGACTACAAACCCCAGAATCTGGTTGGAAACTTTATCCCCAGACATCAACCAGAATTTTGAAAAATTATGCCTTGAGCTCATCAATTATTATGCACAGGTGATGAACCCCACCACTTTGGTTTACAAGTCTAGGTTGCATAAGAATGACACCCCCAAGTCCTTTTATCCAGCGATGAGATAGGTTTGCTTCAAATCTAGTGGTGCTGTGGGTCTGGACCAGCAATCCCATCTGAGACAATTTTATATCTGGTATAGTTACCAGCCTGTATCAGAGAAAGAATAGAGTAGATTATAGAGCCAGATAAAACCACCATGAGGCAAATTGTCATGCTAGCCCAGAAGGTGTGGGTGACAAGAGGCATGTCCCAGCGAGGCAGAGAAAAGATCTCTGATTTGCCAAAAAGGACAGAGGCCAGGGAGTGAACAGGCTTGCTTTAATCCCTCTTGGCAATTGTTTTCACTGAGTTGAGACCCGGAGGATATCCCTTCCTGAAAATTCAGTCCAGGGCTGTTACCTCCTGGTGACCAATTTCACCCTACAGAGATACGTCTCTCTGCTCCCAGTGAAACTGGCCATCTAATTGTTGGTTTTGAGCTCAACATTCCTATAATTGGGGTGTTGCTAGAAGTGATGTTACAGGGTAGAAACCTGGGAGAGACAGTGCAGAAGTACCCCTCCATGATCCAATTCCTCTGAAACCCCTTTGGGAAGATACTACCATAAAGTAACTAGTAGTGATGTGGGGAGGGATGGCATGATGCTTTCAGGAAAATATTTCTTAGTCAACCACACACACACACACACTCTTCTGAAAATCAATGCAATGCAAAAAGACCTCAGTCACCCACCCTTGGCCTTTGAACAATAAGTAGAGGGAAAGCTACAATTGGCATATGCTCTAGAGCAGGGGTGGCCAACCTGTGGCTCCGGAGCCACATGCGGCTCTTCAGAAGTTAATATGCGGCTCCTTGTATAGGCACCGACTCCGGGGCTGGAGCTACAGGCGCCAACTTTCCAATGTGCCGGGGGGTGCTCACTGCTCAACCCCTGGCTGTGCCACAGGCCCTTCCCCCCATTCTACCCCTTCCCTCCCCCTCCCCTGAGCCTGCCATGCCCTCACTCCTCCCCCCCCCCCACGCCTCCTGCACTCCATGAAACAGCTGATCGGGAGGTGCAGGGAGGGAGGGGGAGGCACTGATCGGCGGGGCTGCCGATGGGTGGGAGGCGCTGGGAGTGGGGTGGGGGAGCTGATGGGGGGGCTGCTGACATATTACTGTGGTTCTTTGGCAATGTACATTGTTAAATTCTGGCTCCTTCTCAGGCTCAGGTTAGCCACCCTTGCTTTAGAGAATGATTGGCAGAGGGAAGAATTGACATAGCTATCGACAGAATTCTGTGAAATCTCTGCAAAGGACTCTTGTGACTAGAGAAACTAGCCTCAGGAAATTAAGATTTCCACAGAACCAGGAGTGCCCCCAGTTTTCACAAGGCAGTATAGAATACAGTGGCCATTTATGAGTCTATGCAAAAGACATTAGATACACCCATATATTATTTTCCTTTCTAAGAGTGTAATTCCACCTTTAATAGCCCAATCTGGCCTATTGTAAAGCCCAGTGGGACCTGGCAGCTCATGGTAGACTCTAGACAGCTTAATAAATGAGTACCATTATCCCAATGACCAATGGGGTACACAGATCAGAGGAAAGCTCTCGTGTCCGAGGCAAAAATCTTCTCTGCTCTGGATATAGCAAATGGGTTTTGGATGCTAAAAACAGATCCAGGTGATCAACATAAATTGGCCTTTTCATTCAATCACCAAGAGTTCGCCTGGAAAAGGTGCATCTTCGGATACTTTCATGCCCCTGCAGAATATACAGTAACTCCTCGCTTAACGTTGTACTTATGTTCCTGAAAAAAGCTACTTTAAGCAAAACGATGTTAAGCGAATCCAATTTCCCCATAACAATTAATGTAAATGGGGAGGTTAGGTTCCAGGGAAATTTTTTTCATCAGACAAAAGCCATTATATACTTATACAGTATAGGTTTTAAATAATTTTAAACAAACTACTTAATACTGTACTCACCAATGATGATTGTGAAGCTTGGTTGAGGTGGGGCATAGTGGGGTCAGGGCACGGGGGCTTGCCCCACTCTGCCCATCTGGCGCGCCTGCCGGGGGCAGGGTCGGGGGCTTGCCTGCTTCCCATCTGGAATGCCGGGTGGGCGGAATGGGACAAGCTCCCACTCCCCGACCCTGCTCCCCAGCTGGAACACCAGGTGGGCGGAATGGGGCAAGCCCCTGCGCCCCAACCCTGCTTCCCAGCAGGAGTGCTGGGCGGGCGGGTGGAGTGGGGCAAGCCAAACAACCTTATAATGGAACGTCGCACAACTGTAAACAAGTATGTTCTCTAATAGCTCAGCAACCTAATAATGAAACAATGTTAACTGGGACGACTTTAAGTGAGGAGTTACTGTAACTTGCTTCTGCACAAAGCTATGTGATATATATAGATGGCATGCTGATCAAGACACTTTCCTGTGAAAAACATTGCAAAGAAAGAAGATACATGTTGTTTCAGGACAGAGTGGAGCTAAGATTTTGTTGCCTAGAGGGCATTGATGCAGGAAAAGGGTGTGATGCCTAAGAATAAAGTCCAGAAGATATTAGGCCACAAGTCAACAGGGTACAGGCAATTCAGGAAACAATATCCTCAGCAACTTTCACAGAATTAAAGTTTTCTGGGCATCTGTAATTACTCAAGGCAGTTGATTAGTGAGTACTCGGAAATTGTTCAGTCTCTTCTTAGCCTGTTGCAGAAAGATACAGAGATCCTCAAACTGTGGTCTACGGACCACCAGTGGTCTGCAAGCTCCATTCAGATGGTCTGCAGATAGTTCCCTCTAAGGTGCGCACCTGGGTGGCTGCACACAAGAGAATGAAGAGCCACCCACCTAATTAGTGGAGCCGCACAGGGATGGCTCCACTAATGAGGTGCCTGGAGAAGATGCACATATAAGGTGAGGCGGTGGCCTTGGGGGGAATAGGGGGTAGGTGGGAGGGGGCAGTGAGGTGATAAGAGGGGGTGGGGGAATTTGGGACTTGCAGGGCTGCGGTGGCCAGAGAAAACGGAGACTTTCCCCAGCTCCAGGGCTGCAGCTGCGGGGAGAGATGGCCCTCCTTTTCAGCCTCAGCTCTGTGGTGGGGAAGAGAACCTCCTCCTTCCCAGCTGCAGCTCGGGGGCTGCTGCGGTGGGGGAGAGAGTGGGAGAGACCCCCCTCCTTCCCAGCCCCAGGGCTGCTGTGGTGGGTTAGAAAGGTAAGACTACTGATATTAAAATATGAGTTGTGTGCTTTTATTTGTAGAACAAAAAATTTTAATTATTATTAAGTTTTTTTATATAGCACTTTTATCCAAAGCACTTTACAATAGTTAGCTAACAGTACGAACAACATTTGGAAAGATCATTAAGTGATCAGCAATTTTCAAGTGGTCCGTGAAAAAAAAGGTTTGAGAACCACTGAGATACACTGTGGACTTGGGGATGAGAACAGGAAGAAGTACTTGAAGGAGTTCAAGGAAAAGATACCCCAGGCTCCATGCCTAGCTTATCCCAAGAGAGGGGAAACATTGAAGTGGGTCCCACTGACTAGTGTGGCAGCGCTGTACTGCATCAAAAGCATGATATTGACGACAGAGTGACAGTTAAAGCCAGGAAAAACTTCAGTGGAGTTAGAGGAAGTAATCACATCCTGAGGTGGCTTTGCTTGCTACTGTTTGCGCTGTCCAAAATTTTCAGGAACATGTTGGTGGAGAAAGAGTTGTGTTAGCAACTTTCTACCAGTCAACTAGATTTCTGGTTAGTGATAGAGTGGAATGGTTTCCAGAACTTGCATTGTAACTTGGACTTTAGCTCTGTAGGGAATTCCCTGAGAGAGCTACTGCACCAGAAGCAAGAAACTGCTAAGTGCACAGTTCACAGCTGCATGGCTGCAGAGCAGACCCTCAGAGGAGAGGAAGTAACCCTCATGTCTGAACTGCATGCAACATGGACCAGACACTTCTGTTTTGATAAGGAATGTGTGAGAAGTTCCCCCTGGTGTATATAGAAGGCTGTTCATACCAGCCTGGTGGTAAACCAGTTTCAGGAGTAGGCCTAATATGGGCGAATCAGGGCACTACATGTTGGACCCATAGACCAGTCAGCATGCAGAGATGGCTAGAGTTCTGATTCCGCTACAGTTCGTTGCAAGTCACCTTAACAACCTCGTTTTCTGTACTGATTCTACCTGCATAAGACAGATTTTTTTTAACAGTAAGAGCATATGCACATAAGCCCATAATAGAAGTTACCCTAGGTCAGTGTTTCTCAAATGTGGTCACCTGGGGCCACCAGTGGCTTTTCTTGCAGCCACAGCCTCCTGGGCTGTGATTGGGAGGTGGGGGACAAAGCAGCAGCCCCTCCCCCTCCCTGTTGCTCCTGGATGCACCACCTTGGTGTTGGCTGCTAGGGCTGCAAGTAGGGGTTGGGCCCTGCCCCCCTCTGGAGACAGCTAGGGCACAACACTGGAGGAGCAGGCAGCTGGTGAGTTTCCCACCTTCCCAGGGGTGGTGGGGCTCTGGCTTTGGGCTTCACCGCTGGAGTGGTGGGGCGGCAGGCTCAGGCTGCCCAGCTTCAGACTCTGGCTCCCCACTATCTCCCCTGCCCCCCACAATTCCATTGCCCCAGGCCCCTCCTGCCTACCCCGACCCCCCATCCAGGGCTTAATTTGTCCCAAGGCTTGCCGGGGCTGAGTAAGTCTTCGGTGAAAAGTGATACTTTTATGTGTGTTAATATCGCTTTTTACAGCAGATTTACTAGCTAGCAATAAATAAATGACAATGATTTGGATGTGTATATTTATTTGTTTTTCTTAAAACTAATTAAGTATTTTAGGAAAAAAGTGTGAGAGCTGCCACCAGCAAGGGTTGGGGGCTGCACTCTGAGGCCACCAAAAAATTTGTCCTGAGAACCCTTGCCCTAGTTTCAAAGCAAACCTTGCCACAGACTCTGGGATGACTTTTCATGATATGGAAAGCTCCAAACCTTAACTGATATTTTTCCAACAAGGGAAAGTATAGATTGCTAAGTAAACTGCACAGAGATAGAAAGACCAGGTAAGCTATTTCAATCACTGGTGTATGTTAACTTTGTCGTTTGGTTACTGATTGTACTCATGCAATGGTTTGACCAATTGCTGTTTTCCTATTATTCTCCCTTTAGTTAACCACTTGTTTGTATTATTGTTAACTCCTTAAATTGGCTACTTGATTTATATTAGAGAGACAAGGTGGGTGAGGTAATATCCGTTATTGGACCAACTTCTGTTGGCTGAGAGAGACAACCTTTCAAGCTACACTGAGCTCTACTTCAGGTCTGGAAAAAGTGCTCAGAGAGTCACAGCTAAATACCAGATTGAACATGGTAATTTCAATCTAATTTTCATGTTGTTTAGTACTTCAGGGAAGCATAAAAAATGAGTTAGCCTCCTAGCTGTTTTTGCTCTTGAATAAAAGTTATAAAACCACCCCAAATTGGTTTTCTCTGCTCAAATGGCGATGAGGTAAAAACAACCTTAATTAAAGGGACTTTAATTAAATATTAATTAAAATATTGGACTGAAGTCCTGAAAAGCCTATTGTTGCTACAGCCCCCCATTGGCAAACTCAGGTAAGGCAGTGGGCTTGGATGATGAGAATAGAGGTTGAACTACTCACGGGTGGATTGACTCTGCTTTACCCTCCCCAACACAGAAGGCTATGGCAAAAAGAGTTGCAGTTATTGGAGCAGGGGCCAGTGGCCTAACAGCCCTTAAATGCTGTTTAGATGAAGGACTCCAGCCAACGTGCTTTGAGAGAAGTGAAGACATTGGGGGACTGTGGCGGTTCCAGGTAAGTTGAGTCTGTCTCCAGGGTCTTGCATTATAGCCAGCATAGTAAGCCAAGGGGTTCCGAATACTCCAGTTCCTCCTGCACAACCAGACATGTCCCTTCTCAAATAGAAATGAGCAGAGAGATTGCTGACTGCATTGGAAAATGCCTATTCTCCATTCGGCGATACACACAGCAGTGTTGTTCCTCAAATCAGAGTGGGCTTCCCATACAAAGGAGACTGCTTGCTGCATGATTTTTCTCTGCATATACCTTTTTAATATCATAAATGGAGGAGGGAAGAGAGAATTCTAAGGATAAGTGAGATCCACCAATGTCCAAGAATCATGCCATTATGGGAAGTGAATTGAGTAAGGTATGCCTACTAGGGCTGGTCAAACATTTTCTATTAATATGGTTTTAAATTGGGGTTTTGACTGTGGTGGTGATCAACAGCAAGGATGAAGCAGTGAGATGGAGTTCAGAGGGATTTAAAAAATATCAAGGTTGATTTTAAATTAAAAAGGGCGGGGGGGGGAGCACCAACCAGGAATACCTTCCATAACATAACTCCAGCAGGCCCAACATCCTCCAGATGACACTTCCCCTTCCTACTCTGACTCCCAGCTGGAAGACAGGGAGTTTTATAGAGGGCTTCACCACCCAGAATCCTTTGCAGGCAATGGCAAGTCCCCGCCGGTCTCTCTGGGTGATTGACACCCCGTCCAGCGAATCAGCTCTTTCCCTCACTCCTTGCTCTCTAGGCGCTTCATCCTATCACATTCACTAAATGATTTGTTGTGAAAATGTCATGGGGGGCAGGGAGGAGAAAAAGCACTTTTCAGCAAGCTCTAATGCATACCCTATTGGCATTAACCTAGGAGGGTCATGTGGCTAGAGCATAGGCATGGGAGTCAGGATGTTGGAGTTTTGATCCCTGCTGTCCCACACATTTCCTGTGTGATCATGCTTTTCCTTTGTTTTCCCACCAGTTACAATCATAGAATCATAGAAATGTTGGGTTGGAAGGGACCTTAAGAGCTCGTCAAGTCCAGCCCCTTTTGCTGAGGCAGGATCAAGTAAACCTAGACCGTCCCCAACAGGTGTTTGTCCAACACTTTCTTTAAAACTTCCAATGATAGGGATTCCACAACCTCCATTGAAAGCCTATTCCAGTGCTTAAGTACCCTTATAGTTAGAAAGCTTTTCCTACTATCTAACCTAAATTTCTCTTGCAGCAGATCTAAGTCCATTACAACTTGTCCGACCTTCAGTGGACATGGAGAACAATTGCTCCGTGTCTTCTTTATAACAGCCCTTAACATATTTGAAGGCTGTTATTAGGTTCCCCGCTCAGTCGTCTTTTCTCAAGACTAAACATGTCCATTTTTTTAAATCTTTCCTCATAGGTCAGGTTTTCTAAACCAGTGATCATTTTTGTTTCCTCTCCTCTGGATTCTCTTCCATTTGGGCATATTTTTCCTAACGTGTGGTGGCCAGAATTGGACACACTACTCCAACTGAGGCCTCACCAATCCCAAGTACAGTAAGACAATTACCTCTCATGTCTTACTTATGGCACTCCTGTTAATACATCCCAGAATATTAATTTTTTTTTACAGCTGCATCACATTGTTGACTCATATTCAATTTGTGAACCCTAGATCCTTTTCAGCAGTATTACCACCTAGCCAGTTATTCTCCACTTTGTAGTTGGGCATTTGGTATTTCCTTCCTAAATGAAGTACCTTGTAAATGTCTTTATTGAATTTCAGCTTGTTAATTTCAGACCAATTCTCCAATTTGTCAAGATCGTGTTGAATTCTACTCATGTCCTTCAAAGTGCTTTCACTCCTCCCAGTTTGGTGACATCTGCAAATTTTATAAGCATGCTATCCACTTTGTTATTCAAGTCATTAATGAAAATATTGAATAATACCAGAGCCAGGACTGACCCCTGAAAGATCCCCCTAGATAGCCCTCCTAGTTTGACAGCACACCTTTGATAACTTCTCTTTGAGTGTGGTCTTTCAACCAGTTGAGAACCCACTTCATAGCAATTTAATTTTGATCACATTTCCCTAGGTTGCTTATGAGAATGTCATGTGGGACTGAGTCAAAAGCCTTACTAAAATCAAGATCTATCATGTCTATGCTTGCCCCCTATCTGCTAAGCCAGTAATCATGTTAAAGACAAAAATTAAGTTGGTTTGGTATGATTTGTTCTTGACAAATCCATGCTGGCTATTCCTTATAACCCTATTGTCCTCTAGATGCTTACAAATTGATTGTTTAAACATTTGTTCCACTATCTTTCTTGATATCAAAGATAGGCTGACCAGTCTGTAATTCCCAAGGTCCTCTTTGTTTCCCTTTTTAAAGATAGGTATTACGTTTGCCCTTCTCCAGTCCTCTGGGACCTGACCTGTCCTCCATGAGTTCTCAAAGATAATTGCTAATGATTCTGAGATTGCTTCAGCTAGTTCCTTAAGTACCCTTGAATGAATTCCATTAGGCCCTGCTGACTAGACAACATGCAACTTTATTGAAATATTCTTTAACCTGTTCTTTCCCTGTTTCAACTTGCATTCCTTCCCCCTTGATGATGATAATTGTTTTGAATATCTGGTCACCATTAACCTTTTTAGCAAAGACTGAAGCAAAATAGGCATTGAACGCCTCAATCATTTTGATGTCATCAGTTATTAGCAATCTTTCCCCACTAAGGCCTGGTCTACACTAACCCCCCAATTCGAACTAAGGTATGCAACTTCAGCTACGTGAATAACGTAGCTGAAGTCGACGTACCTTAGTTCGAACTTACCGTGGCAGGCTCCCCCGTCGACTCCGCGAACTCCTCTCGCCGAGCAGGATTACCGGAGTCGACAGAGAGCACTTCTGGGTTCGATTTATCACGTTCAGACAAGACGCGATAAATTGAACCCAGAAGTTCGATTGCCTGCCGCCGAACCAGCATGTAAGTATAGACAAGCCCTAAGTAGAGAATCTACATTTTCCTTCATCTTTCTCTTGCTCCTAGTGTATTTAAAGAATCTCTTCTTATTGCCTTTTACGTCACTTGCTATATGTAACTCCTTTTGTGCCTTTTTTGATTTTGTCCCTTCATGCTTGTACTATTCTTTTGTACTCCTCTTTAACAATTAGGATAATATTTCCCTACCTTCCAGGAGTGATATGAGGTTTTATTTTGTAATGGTCATGAAACACTGAGATCCTTGAATGAAAGTGAAAATTGCCAGTATCCATGTGCTGTCAGTATGCCCCAGGGGACATTCCTTCTCAGCTCCAAACATGGAGATCAGTTCACCTCTTAAAACATGAACAATAACTAGGCATGTTGTTTATATCCAGATAGTAGAAATCAATATAAGTAATGGTCCCTTTCTAGAAAACTCTAGCTAAAACAAAACATCTGTCTTGATTTTATTCTGAAGGTGATCGTTGTAAGTATAGTCTGTGAAATATAGTAGATACCACCTGATTGAATAAGATTTCTGAGACAATAATGTAGCACAACCAAATTGTTTGGAATATTTAGTATTTATCAATTGGAACCTGTAGTGAGCAATATTGCTCTTTACTTTCAGGAAGGCATAGTTTTGATGGGGAATTTCAAATCCCACAGGATACATGTGAGCTTGAAAATTCCTGACCTTCACCTGCAGTGGTTAAAGTCCTGTTGAGTACTACCTCTATAAGATTGGCTTGAGGGGAGGTTTTTTTTTTTGTCAAGAATGATATAAGGAGTTTTCAGAATTCATATATTAGGGGGGGGACATAAATTCCTGTTCAGCTATTGACAAATTCTGCCAATGACTCCAATTTTTCCCTCTGTTGTAAAAATATAGTGTCCACAATCTTGACTGAAATCTTCAGGTTTCACTCCATTTCCGAGGGTAGTATTCACAGCAAAAGGTGAACAGCATCCATTGAACCAAAACTCCCATTCCCTCTAAAACATTACACAAATCACATCCGAGCCAGACAGGTTTAGAAAAGTTTGCTCGTTCTTTTTTGCATTGTTTCTTCCCTTCTGGGTTCCAGCTGGGTCTGGAATTGGAAGTGGTGAAATGGTGTAAGCATGTCTGTCCTCATAAAATTTCCAGCCTAGATTTTCAGACTCATGAATGAGGTTGAGTTAAGCATCTCAACTTTGGGATGTTTTTATGTCAAGCAAACTTGAATGGTGAACCTTTTTGTATTGCCTCTGGATTAATTATTTGAAAATCTTGTCCTGGTTTGGTTGTTTCCTGCAGGAGTGTGATACGGATTGGAAAGCCAGTATTTATAAATCTGTGACCATTAACACTTCCAAGGAAATGATGGGTTACAGCGATTTCCCCATCCCAGAGGACTACCCCAACTACATGCACAACAGCAAAGTCATGGACTACTTCAGAATGTACACCAAGCATTTTGATCTTCTCCAATACATACACTTTAAGGTATGAAAGAAATTACATCTCTTTGGAGGTATGGAAGTCAAGTGCAGCTCTGTGGGCTAACTGCTCCCCCTAATCCAATAAATTTGATAACATTACATGGGATGCTGCGATATTATCACACATGACATTATGTGACATGGTCACCAAACAGTGTCTTGCGTGGTGATATTTCAGCAAAGCTGAATTACATCAGCTCTCCTGGAAGGCTGGATAGTAGCAATAGATAGCAAATCTAGAGCTACTCAAAAAGATTTTCCTGTCCTGCTCCTCTGTTAAGTTGTCCTGCAGTGGTTCATGAGCATGAGTACCAACCTCAGAGCAATTGTTAAGTAGCAGGGCACAAACCCCAAACTGGCTGTGAGTTCTATACTTAGATTTCATCAACCATGTATCAAGTGTAAACTCCTCAGGCATTTCAACAGTCTTAACATAGAGCCACAGACAGTCCTCTTGGGTACTCCGATCTATCTTGCCACCTCGGCAAGCTTGCCTTTTACCTTCCATCAAAAATCACAACAATATTCAGGTAACTCCCTGGATCAGTCACTTACCCCAGATCAGTTGCACCTTCGATCTCACACCAAAGCCAACATTTGTAGCCAATCCTATAATAAACTATCTAAAGATTTATTAACGAGGAAAAGGAAATAGTTATTTACAAGGTTAAAGTAGGTAAACATAGACACACAAATGAGTTCCAATCTTAAGTTTCAAAAAGTAATAGAAGCTTTTATGATAAACAAGCTTGATATGTCCATTAGGGCTAACCCAGGCCTGGGGATCTTTTGCTCATGCGTAGTAATCCTTGCCCTTCAGAGTCCAAGAAGCATAAAAGATACAGTTCCTCCTTGTTAGGGCTTTTTATTCCTTCCCTCTTCTGTTTTGAGTTGCAAATTCAACTGTTGGGAAGAATTCAATTGCACATCTCTTCATTAGGGAGAGTAATTAACACAGTCTTTTGTCCTCTGATGTTGCACAATGGTTTGTCTGGTGTTGATGGGTCTTCATTTGATGGGCAGTTCATAACACCTCCTGTTGGAAACTTGTATTTCAGTCTCATTAATAGTTCTCTCCTGTCTGGTGATTTACAGTTACAGAACAAACACTAAATATTACCTTATGACAGGGAATACAGATGTTATTCCTCAAGAGCAAGTGGTTAGCTTTGATGTCCTGAATTACTCACATTGTCATTACCCTCAGATAGATATTTACAACCACATGCAGTAGCTTGGGGGACTGTGGTATTAACTTCCCGAATATTATCTGTATATGTTATCTAGATCTCTGTGAGCCAAGGATTGTCATCTGGCCAGGAACTAGAATCAAGGAGGGGGCGGGTAATTATGAAGTCCCAGGAGCTGTAAATAGCTCCAGCAAAGAACTAGTCGCTTGGATGGTTTTCATACACTGGTTCGAGTCAGGCTCAAGAGAGCCAGGAGTCAGAGCTTGGGATAGAGGGCCAGCTTGACTTGATAGACAAGCCTTTATTTTAATCCAGCAAACGGATGTGACCTTATGTACAAAGGGGGGACCAAACCCATAGGAAGGACTGGAATCTGCCAGGACTGATGGAGAAACTGGCAAGCTTAAATATGCATTTAGGCTCTTTTAGTTATTTTATATGTACTCTGTAATGTTTATATCCTAAAATAAATGTACTCTGCTTTGAAAGAGCTATCCGGTTACTGGTAACTGCCTGCATATGCTGGTCATAGCCCGTGGAGAGGGAGCAAAGCGCAAGAGCTGGACTTTAGTCAGACCTGCTGAGAGAAACACAGGGAAGTGCAGACGGGCTGTAGCCTAAAGTTCATGGTCAGAAGGAAGAACACGGGTTTCTGCCCAGAGGGAGGTGACATGGGGTATTCCTGGAGCAGACCGTGAAGGAGGGTGTCAAAGGTGCAGTTACCCCAAAACTGTGATGGCTGGTTCCTGGTATATTAGTATGTATACTGGTTTCCCTGTACTTTTCTCCATGCCTCCTGCTACGCCTGCATAAGCTGTCATTCAGACAGTTCTCCTTTGCCTGACTGGCTTTGGGTGTGTGGCTTCTTGGCTTTCTCATACCGCATACTTCAGCATGAATAGAGGAACAAAATAAAGCCAAGTAAAAGTAAGGGGTTGTCTGCTTTTCTTCTAGACAAGTGTGCTCAGTATAAGAAAATGCTCCGATTTTTCCACCACTGGCCAGTGGGATGTTGTCACAGAGACAGACGGGAAGCAGAATTCGGCCATCTTCGATGCCATTTTGGTTTGCACTGGCCACCACATAGATCCTTACTTACCCCTGGAATGCTTCCCAGGTCAGTGGGATACTAAGTATCAAGTCTCTTGGTGATTGGGATGTGACCCGCTCTAACTGGGAATGAACAGACTGGAGCGGTTCAGATAAGGGGGCTATTAAGGGTGGCTACGCAGCCCTAGAGCTTGTGAATCTTTTCAAAGGAATTCATAATCTTCTAGTTTGACCTCTTGCACATTTCAGGCTACAAAACCTCACCCACCCACTCCTGTAATAGACCCCTAGCCTCTGGCTGAGTTACTGAAGCCCTCAAATCATGACGTAAAGACTTCAAGTTACAGAGAATTCACCATTTACACTAGTTTAAACCTGCAAGTGACCCATGCCCCACGCTGCAGAGGAAGGTGAGTCCCCCGCAGGGTCTCTGTCAATCCCGACCTCAAATATGGTGATTAGTTAGACCCTGAGCATGTGGGCAAGACCCACCAGGAAGATACCTGGGAAAGAATTCTCTGTAGTAACTCAGAGTCCTCCCCATCTAGTGTCCCATCTCCAGCAGCTGGGGATTTTTGCTACCGGCAGTCACCAATGGGCCAGATGTCATTGTAAGCTGTCTCATCATATCATCCCCTCCATATAGTTATCAAGCTCAGTCTTGAAGCCAGTTAGGTTTTTTGCCCCCATTGCTCCCCTTGGGAGGCTGTTCCAGAACTTCACTCTTCAGATGGTTAGAAATCTTCACCTCATTTTGAGCCTAGTCAAACTATAGAGGGAGGCAGGGTCAGCAGAAGCACACCCTGCTCATGTATATTGTCCTTCCCTAGGTCTTGTCCCATTTTGTGCCAAGGGCAAAAATCTTTGAGTCCTTAACCCAAAAGCAACATCCAGTTAGAAGGCCTCTGCTCCTGGAAGCCGAGGGAGCTGGGGGCGGAGGGGTGGGATGGATTCCAAGCCTTTGAACCAGAAGCACAGTTTTGGGCGCCCAGATCTCTGGGCAACATCCAGCTATAGTTAGGTCTGAGAGGAGTTTTGGTTATGGCCTGATGCTCTCCTCCCTCAGGGCATGTAGACCTGCTGTGTGTGAATCTAAAAATCATACACACACCTTCGTAGTGATCCTACAGACACTGTTGTCCTGCATGGAGATATTCCCTTATCCAGAGCCTCTCCATGGACTTTCTCACACCGTCTCCAGGCACTGGAGATGCATCTTGGCCAGGTGTAGAAGTGCTCCTTTTTATATAATGACTTCCTGGCTGAGTTTTCACCTTCTGGTTTCTTCTCCCCTTACAGGTGTAGAGAAGTTTAAAGGAAAAATAATGCACAGCCGGGAATACAAGTATCCAGAAGAATTTCGGGACAAGAGAATGGTTGTGGTTGGCTTGGGAAATTCTGGAGTAGATATTAGTTTGGATCTCAGTCACACAACCAAACAGGTATTGTTGGCTATCACCTTCCAGCAATTTCAGCCTCAGAGGTTGGATGGTGCTGAGTTGTTTTATTTAGCTACTGGCTATGAATAAGACTTGTTCTTATCCGAGTCTCTGCTGAAGATTTTTCTTCCTATTCTGCCTCTGATATGACTGCACAGGTTCCATTCACACTGAGTCTTCATCTTGCAGCATGTAAGGACAGTACTGACAGTAATGGCCCAATAATATAATTGCAAGCTGTAGAGCTAAATTTATTCCTGATGTACATCACGTGTGCCCATCCCAGCCCCATGCTAACAGTGCATGCAACTCAGTATGGACCCACTGCCATGCAAATGGTAAGAAGGCAGAAATTGTAACTGATCTTACTTTACAAATACATCTTAGCCTTAAAGTCACTTTAGAGCGTAACACAGCTTGGACCCAATCTGAGTCCCATTGAAGTCAGTGGAAAGGCTCCCACTGATTTCAATGAGCTTCGGATCAGGGTCTACTGTAAGAGGCAGTGTTTTGGACCATCACTGTAGGATACCAAATGACCTCTTAAGGTCTTTGGAATGCAATTTGTGTCCAGGAAGCTGTAAATAAAAGAAAAGGGGCAGTGTCTTAAACTGAAGTGATTTCAGATATTCAGCATGGCTTATTGTCCACTTGTTTGATTCCCAGAACTACCACAGACATTCACTGGGGTTCCCCCAGACTGGGAAGGGGAAGCATAGATCCTAAGGAATTGCTAAGCATTTATCTGGGAAAACTCAATCAGTTACAGCCACACTTAAAAGGGGGAGTAACAAATTGGAGCAAACTACTACTGTTGGGTCAACTCAGCGGATCTCTTCTCTGCTGCTCTGCTCACCCTCATTTTGTAGGAAATCCATGGTGAGAATTACTGGGTGAATCTGAGAAGAATTTTGTCCTTAGTCTTTTAAAATGGGCCCCAATCCTGCAGTTTCCTAATCTTTATTTAGCCATCTCAACGAGAGTTTTCCCTTAGCAAGTGGCAAGCAGAAATTACCGTCTGATACGCAAAACCTGTTCATCTTACTGTTACCTTATCCCACCTCCCCCCCTTTCCACATGTCTCTTTCATTCACTGGTCATGTGTTGTCCTCGTTCTAAACTGCAAGCTCTCTGGAGTGAAAACTGTCTTCATCACCTTTGTTTGTACAGTACCTCGTGCAAGAGAGCCCAGATCCTTGAGTTGGGCCCCAAGGCAGCACTGGAATACAAATGATGATGATAAATTAATTCAGTGGGATTTTTGCCTGAGGAAGGATTGTAGGATTGGATCCATTTTGTCTTTTTTTAAGTAAAACATATTCATTTTTATTCACCTACAAAGAGAGGCCAAGCCATCCCACTGTGATATCCCCAAATGATACTACTTGCTTAGCAATTAAACTAACCCCAAGTAGCCTGCACCTCGCAAGCAGACAGGTACAGGCACAGAACAAAGAGCAAAAGCCCTGACCTGTTGCATTTCTGCATCTCTTCCGGCAGGTATTTCTCAGCACCAGGACGGGCGCCTGGGTGGTGAATCGCGTCTCTGACAACGGCTTCCCCCTCGACGTGGTACACTTCACACGCTTTAAAAATATGCTGCGCCACATCATCCCTTTGTACCTGATGAACCGCTGGGGGGAGAACAAGCTGAATGCCAGGTTTAACCATGAAAACTATGGACTGAAACCTAAATTCAGGTAACGCCTCTATTTCAGGACTCTCACAGTCATGGGCATTTTATGGGTAAAATTTTCCAAAAATCCTAAGTAACTTAGTTTCTTAAGTCCTATTTTCAAAAATGATTTAGGCATTTTAGAGCCAAAGTCTCACTGAAAGTCAATGGAATTTTAGGCTTTAGGATGCAGTTGGGTCATGTTCTCCAGCTTTTCCTCACAACCATCAGGGCTAGAGACGTACTTTTTCTTAAGGAAAACTGAGGTTCCCGCCTGATCACTTAACTCCTGCAGCTGGGGCTTGTAGAAAAACCTCTAATATCATGAGACTTGCAATAAAATCATGAGAGCTGGTGACACTGTAACATGTGACTTTGCACTTCAAGCTGGGGAGGTAATTCCCAGCTCAAGTAGATGTACCCGCGCTAGCTCTGATCAAATTACCATGCTAAAAATAGAGTGTCGCCTCAGCAGTGGGAGGGACTGGTCATGTGAGCATGTGCATAGTGTCTTGGACTTGTACTGGGCGTGGTTGAATGAGGCCTCACAAACCTCCTGTGAGGGAAGTGAGTGGTGATGTTCCCATTTCAGAGGCTGGTAAAATGATGCCCACAGGGTGGAGATCCACAGCCCAGGATGGTAATGCTCACAGACTCAAGATCCAGGACTGAACTCAAGTCTGTCCCTCACAGACTTTTAAGTTGCTTGCCCAAGGTCACTGGTCAAGCCAGGAGCAGAAATCAGGAGTCCTCTCTCTAAATTCCCTGCACTAAGCACAGGGACAGCTCTGGCTTTCTGGCCGCCCCAAGCAAAAAAAAAAAAAAAAAACCCTGCAGCGTGGCTGGAGCCAGGGTGCAGGGGGACTCCCTGCCCTGCAGATGTGCCCCAGGGGGGAGGGGAGGGAGCGGGGGGAGAGTGAGAAGGGGGCAGCCAGGGCTTCAGAGGGGCGCTGCCACGCGGCCCTCCCGCCGTGCCCCCTGCCGGGAGGGCTCCACACCACTCCGGTCGGCTGGGAGGGAAAGACGCAGGCTGCCCTGCCGGGCTTGCTGCAGGGCGCTCCCGTCCTCCATGCCGCTGCCCCCTACAGGGCGGCCGGAGCGGAACAACAACAACAACAAAAAGCGGCCATGCTGCCCTAGGATTGGGTAGAATGCCGCCTCCTACAAGCTGCCGCCCCAAGCACCAGCTTGCTCGGCTGGTGCCTGGAGCCGGCCCTGACTAAGCACTAGACAACTATCATGTCTACAAGAACTTGAGCAGAGAAGACCCCCAGGGTTAGGCACTCTACCCCCTTGGCACAGGGTGTGGCACGGGGTGGCCAGCCCTTGTAAGTGAAGTGGGTCCACTCCCCTGACAACTGAGGCTGGGCCCTAATGAGGGGCAGGGTGACGCCGGAGTTAAGAGCAAGAAGAAAGCTGCAGGGAGGGGAAGAATGCGGCAAATGGGCAGCTCCAGAAAGGGGCTAGGATAGGCCCTGGGGCAAGGCCGGGCTCCTGGGAGTGGCCCACGGCTTGTGTCTCCAGAAATAAAGAACCGGAAGTAGCAGGAGGAAGCTGCTTGGAACCCGTTGGAAAGAAGGTAGTGCCAAGGAGGGGCAGATAAGGACTGGGAAAGACTGCGATTACCCTGGGATGGGAGCTATCATTTTAGTTGACTTTCACTGGCAAAGGAGCAATGCGGGTCTTTGCCCAGGAAGAGGGAGTTGAGTCCCTGAAGAACTTGGTGCAGAGAAGTGGGACATTAAGGTTTGCTTGAAGATTGTGGACAGTTATTTGGAAGACTAGTAAATAAACTTACACATGGGTGCTTTCTGTGCTAAAATAGTCAACCAGCAGACGGTGCTCAGGGACAGCTGCCCCCTGCGACAGGGTGCCTAATAAATCTAGGTATCTTTGACCATTTTAGCCTTAGCAAATGCCTACATTGAAAGCGCAGATGTGGCTATAGCCCAGGTAGGCATACCTACACTGGCTTTAATCTAGCAGGCAGGTGTAACAACGGTAGTGAAGATATGGCAGAAAAGGCTTCAGGACAGGCTGGCTACCAACCTGAGTAAGCATCCAAGGTAAGTAAGGGTGCAATCCTGTGCCACCCTGCTTTCACTGCTATTGTTACTCATGCTATGTCTACACTGCCATTGGGAGGTGTGACTGCAGCTCAGGCGGGCAGATTTGAGCTAGCTTTGCTCTAGCTAGATCATCGCAAGCAATGGAAGGGAAGAATGTGGCAAAAGGACAGGCAGCAATAGCAATGTTGCCATGGCAGTAGGGGCAGTGAAGGAGTTAGTCTTCTGAGTACAATCCCCACCCCAGGACCCCAGGTACATACTTGAGCAGGTTGCCCGTACCGCTACCCTGCATTGCTGAAGCTATCCCCGGTATTATTACATTAGTGAGCTTTGAGCTTGCTGCAGCAAAGCTAGCTCAGGTATCTCTACATGTGCTGCAGTCACACATCTCAACTGCAGCATAGACATACCACTAGATTAAAGCTAGGACAGGTATAGCTACTCACACTGCAATCGTACCTTCTCTTGAGTCTCCACCGTTCTAACCCAGCACAGCCTATTCACGCTCAGTTCTCTCCTCCTTCCTGACCTTACAGGTTTCTCAGCAAGTACCCGATCGTGGGGGACGACCTGCCCAATGCCATTGTTTCTGGCCGGGTGCTGATGAAGCCCAACGTGAAGGAGTTCACCGACACGGCTGTGATTTTTGTGGACGGGAGCCGGGAGGAGAACATCGATGTCGTGCTCTTTGCCACAGGATACAACTTCTCCTTCCCCTTCTTGGAGGAGAACGTCCTCAGAGTCAACAACAACCGTGTCCCTCTGTATAAGTTCGTCTTCCCTCCACACCTGGAGAAGCCCACGCTGGCTATCATCGGCCTCCTCCAGCCACTGGGGGCCATCATGCCCATTGCGGAGCTTCAAGCTCGCTGGGCCACCAGGGTCTTTAAGGGTAAGAAAAATGAGCACAAGAGGTTCTCCGCTTGCCACTCTGCTAACACTTCCCAGCAGCATTCCATACATTTCTCAGCATCTCCCATACTTACGGTGACGAGCCCAGTCTGAGAACTATATAGACTGGCATAGACCTAATACAAGAGCTAAGCAGGGGTGCGAGGCTGATTTGAAGGAGAAGGCTGAAATCCATGCTTGATAGTTCCCCATGGGCCAGGGTATCAAATCAAGAGAGGCAGTGTGGCCTAGTGGCTAGAGTGGAGGCCGGGGACTCAGGAATGCTGGGTTCTATCCCAGCCCAGTCAGTGACCTGGGGCACATCATTTCATCTCTCTGGGGCGAAGTTTCCCCCTTTGCAAAATGTAACGATGAAAAGTGCTGCGTAAGAGTGACTATTGTTGTTACAGATACCAGTGAGGGGTAAATATAGCCTTTACTTACGAACTTAATGTTCAGTTATATGCTCAGTGCCTTATTGCCATGTTCATCACTCGGTCAATCTACTTCCTGGTAGGCCACAGCTACTCCTGCTCCTTGTTTCTCTTCCTGCCTCATCCTCCATTAGCTATTTCTCTCCCTTTCATGTCTCTCTTCTGTTCTTCCCTCTGCATGTCCTTTCCTGGAGCGAATCTCAATTCCCACCCTGCTTGGCTTCTCACTGCCTTTTGACCCTTCCATTTCCTCAAATGAGTGGCCATGCAATAGTTAATGTTGACTTTGAAGGGTCATCGTTGGGTTTTATAGCTGGCATGACAAGGTGATTAACGGGAGTTTACCCCTCTGAGTCATTGTTTCGGGCTGGCTGCAGATATCGCTGCACTGGTTATATTCGGATTACGACAGTCACAAGGGTTAGAAACTTATTTTATTTAAAGTTGAGATTCGAGCAATCTGGATATATCACGTCAGCTTAATAAATACCAGCTACAAGCCATATACTTAGCAGGCCACTCTCTAGCCTAGGAGAACCATCTGAACTGGATAGGAAGATGGGGCTGTAGCTAAGCTACTATCCTGGCAGGCTCTGAGCACAACGGGGGCAAGAGGAGGCACGGCCAGGCTGTTTTTATACCCTGGGGATTTGTGCACTCTGCTAAAGCAACTGACGCAGGGTCGCTAGGGTCTCAGCAGCTCCCAAACAGGGCAAAGATAAGCCACTTGCCATCTGCCCCTGCATTGGCAGTTTCAAAACTTAACAAAGGAACCGCATTATAAAGCAGATGATGCACCTGAGCTGAACTATGTGGCAAAAAGAAGGGAACAAACAAAAAGTTTCCCAGTCTTGTGAAGTGAGGGAAGGTTTCTTGTTCAGTGCTGCCCTATTAGAAGGGAAGTGTGGTCAGGGCCGGCTCTAGCTTTTTTGCTGCCCCAAGCAGCAAAAAAAAAGCGCCGCCCCCCGAGCCCCCAGCCGAGCGC